CCATGATAAAAAGGAGCTTAAATTAAACCAAACTAAGAAGTCTTTTTTATTATTTAATGAGTAGAAAATGGAGATAAATGTAAGGAGTAAAAGTAAAAAGTTGTCTAGACAATATTTAATCCAGTAAATTATAGATAACCAAAATTTCTAATTAAGTAAAGTGACAAAGTATTTGTACTCTATTACTGGACACCACTGACAGCTACTAATCATCAGTGTGGAATATGTGATCAGTTTTTTAAAAACCTCATAACAAAGGACAAAAATCAGTAATTAGCATTAGTGGAACAGCTGTTGTCCAGAAATCTGAAATAAAATCCATTAAAATATGAATGTTCATCCTTCCATAGGTAAAAACAAACATTTGTTATGTTTAAAGCATTTAAGACACGCAACTATATAATGACCCCCAAGATTCAACCATTCAGTGCTTAGAGACACCTAAAAAAATCTCCCGCAGGCCTCACTATCAGCATGCTAGATATTAAACAATGATGATTTAGGCTGATTTTGCAGTCTGGTAACACCTCCTCTTTGTTTGTTTGTTGATATAAAGACTATATTTTTTTATAGATGGGTGATGGCAGTCAGTCATCTGGAGATTTATAGAAACAGGTTTGGTAAGCTTTATGTGATAATCCTTGACTGCTTTCTGGTTTTAGGAAGATTTAATTCCAATTCAGAAGTTCCTATTCTCTGCTCTCCAACTATCCCTTTGTTCAGTCCATCTGCTGTGGCTCTGTGAATTTGACCTGGAAAAAAGAAAAATGATTTGCTCTAATATAAAAAAAGGCTGGTTTACTATTTCTATGTTGTTTTTTTGTTGTTGTTGTTGTTTTTATATTTTATTCACTTAGATTTTCCACAGCCAGAAGTATGACTGTTCAGGAGAAACAGCAGTGAGTGTTTTGGGGGCTGCCTATCTATAATCAAAGGAAATGTTATTAACCATTATCTATTTTTTTGTTGGGTTTCTGCTCTTTTACTGATTGTGCTGCATCAGCTACAGTCGGCTTACTAAATCCAAACTGATTTGAAGCCTTCCTGGAGCATCAGCACCACCTCCTTTATGATCTGAAGCAGCTCTGCAGCTCCTCCACTGACTGACTGATAACAGCTGAGAGTAAACACTTCATTTATTTGTTTTCACCAAAGCCATCCTATTACATTAGAGACCAGTTATCAGACCAGTCTCCTCCAGTCACCTTTATCCGTGGTTTCAACGAGTTTGTAAATGCTTTTAAATTATCTGCCTTTTATGTTTTTCTGTAAAAGGAAAAGAAAAAGTGCTTGGAAAGAAAAAGCGTACAACTTCAAAGCTGCTTAAACCCGATTTATCCACTAGATGGCAGTAGTGCAACATGACTATAAACTATCAGTGCAACAAATCAGGGTATCCAACTGTTCCTTAAAAAACAGACCCTGCCATATATTTAGATGCAAAGGTTTGCATCTAATTAAAGTAAGGTTAGCATTAAATGTTTAAATCATTTCAAACATTGAAAAATGCAATGGCGATATGCATCATGTTAAGGTAAAGATAATGCCTGGTCACAATGGGCCCCAACTGTACTATTATACCTGCACTTTATACAAATATTTTATCATTATATAATATCTCTACAGACATACATTTCTAACAATCTTTGAATGCTTATATTTTCTTAGTTATATATATTATTTCTTATTCTGAACAAGCTCTTTCAATTTAATTACATACTTTACATGTATCTGTGTTTTTTTTTTATTTCCCTCTCACAATGAATTTTCCATCTGAGGAAAAAACAAAAATCAGAATATTTCATTTTATTCTATTGTATAGAAACCACCATTCATAAGCTGCTTC